AAGCATGGTATGTACTCTCTCATATATGGATTTTAGACATAGATCTGAGGAGTGCCAGCCTACAGCCCCATGGCCAGAGAGTCTGGGAAACAGAACCTTCATCTAATGGCTGATGGAAATAGAAGCAGACTCCCACAGCTAAATGCTGAGCTGAACTCAAGGAACCCAGTGACAGAGAGGTAGGATTGATGAGCAAAGGGGTTAAGACTGGGCTGGTTTAAACCCCAGAAACAGCTGACCTGACAAGGGGTAGCTCTTGAATCCCAGACTGATGGCTGGGAATCCAGCATAGGACTGATCAAGACCCCCTGAATGTGGGTATCAGTGAGGAGGCCTAGGTAATCTATTGAGCCTTAGGTAGTAGATCAGTATTTATCCCAAGTATACAAATGGACTTTGGGTGCCCATCCAACAGTGAGAGATGCACTCTCACCCTGGACTCTTAGGGAGGGTCTAGGCCCTGCCCTGGACGAAATGACAGACTATGGACACCCCCATGGAGGGCTTCACCCTCCCTGGGGAAATGAAGGGGTACTGGGGGCGTTGGTGGGAGGGCGTGGGAGGAGGGGAGGGAAAGGGAGAAGGACCTTGGACTGGCATGTGAAGCAACCTTGTTTCTAATTTAAATTTAAACTTAAAAATAAAAATTAAAAAAAAACTGTCCCCATGGCTGGGCATGGCTCACACCTGTCAACCTACCACTAGAAGTGCAAGGGGACTGTGTAATGGAGGCTAGCCTGGGGTACTTAGTGAATTCAAGTTCAGTCTAAGATAAGGGTCTAATGCCTTATCTCAAATCCACCCCTATGAAAACTTGGTGATAAATACAAGATCGTATCTTGCCCACTCACTGATATATTTGGCAACTAATCCTAAGGAAATAAAAATAACCTGTGTACATAAAGATGTTCAGCATAGAAATGTTTACTTTTACTTTCGACAGGATCTTTTGTTTCCCAGGCTGGATGACCTTGAATTTCTGGACTTCCTGATTCTACCACCTGAGTGTTGTGATTACCAGGGTGTTGCCACTTTGTGCTCCGAGTCAAACCCAGGGATTCTCACATGCTGGGCAAGCACTACTCTATGAATTGAACTACATCACCAGCCAGCAGTATTTTTAGTCCAAAAAGATGGTTAGCCATAAATGAGTGACTACTTTAAATAAGATCTGTAATGGAGCTATATGATATGTAACTAAGCAGCAACTTTGTTAAATTATTCTTATAAAGAATGGGGTTTGACGATATGGCTCAGAGGTTAAGAGTACTTGCTGCTCTTCCAGAGGGCATAGGCTCAATTCTCAGTACTGACATAGAGGCACACAGGCATCTGTAACTCCAGTCTCAGGGGATCACCCTCTTCTGTCTTCCATGGGCGCCAGGCATGAATATGGTACACTGACATACAAGCAGACCAAACAACCAGGCAAATAAATAAATTTCAAAATTTTTAATGGAAAAATTGGGTTACAGATGTATTTCAGTGATTAGAGTACCTGCCTAAAATGTTTGTGGACCTATGTTCAATACCCAGCACTACAAAAAGAGGGGCTTGGGCCATCAAAATAACCTTTTAAATGGAAAAGTAAGATATAATCTCTATATGTAGCATTTTCTTCACTTTATGTATGTATATATGTATGTATGTGTGTATTTGATACTCAATTTTCATTGTCACCTTGACACAATCTAGAAGATCTCTGATGATGTCTTTGATTATTTTGCGTGAGTAGACCCATCCTCAGTGTGAGCAGGGACCTTCATGGACTGGGCTCTGAACTGAATGAAAAGGAGTGACCCAGATGAGCACTGACAGAAAAACATCAACCCATTATTCTCTGCTCTTGACTGTGAATGCAAATGTGACCAGTTCTGTCAAGCTCCTTGTAGTGGTTTGAATAAAAATGGCCTCCATAGGCTCATATATTTGAATGCTTAGTCACCAGGGAATGGCATCATTTGAAAGGATTAGAAGAATTAGGAGATGTGGCCTTGATGAAGGAAGTGTTTCACTGGGAGTGAGCTTTGAGGTTTCAAAAGTTCATGCCAAGCCCAGTCTCTCTCTCTCTCTCTCTCTCTCTCTCTCTCTCTCTCTCTCTCTCTCTCTCTCTCTCTCTCTCTCTCTCTCTCTCTCTCTTCTCTTTCTATCTCTGCCTGTGGATCAGTATGTAGCTCTCCACTACTGCTCTAGCACCATGCTGTCCACATTTTCTAACATGATGATAATGAACTAAAATTCTGACACTATAAGCAAGCCCTCTATATCAAGCTTTGTTATCAGCTGACAGCTCACAAATAATGACACAGAGACTTCTTATTAATTATGAAAGCTCAGCCTTAGCTTAGGCTTGTCCCACTAGCTCTTATAACTTAAATTAACCCATTTACATTAATTTATGACTTTTTACTTTTCTTTCATTCTGTATGTCCGAATTACTCCATTTCTCATTGGTGTTTCATGCATACCTTGATTATCTCCTCCTCTTCCTCTCTCTGTGCCCAGAAGTGCCACCTATACCTCCTGCCTAGCTATTGACCATTCAGCTCTTTATTACACCAGTCACAGCAATACATTTTCACACTGTATAAACATCTCACATCAACCCCAATCAAAAGCTTTCAAGAGTTGCTGTGATCATGGTGTCTCTTTACAGCAATAGAATACTGACTAAGATATTTCTATTGCTATAACCTCCTTGCCAAAATGAACTGCAACCAAGAAATATGAGCTGAATAACATTGCTTCTGTCATGGTATTTTATCATAGAAACAAGAAAGAAAAAACATTTTTCAATCTATATATTCACTATACTTATGTTCAATACACACACATATATATGTGCATATATACACACATATTCAATACACATATATGTGTATATTGCCTAGGCTACCTAATCCTCCCAAATAGGATGTGTGGCAGGATTATGTTATACACTGAATTTATATTCTCTTTATTATAAAGTTCTAAGAAAATTACCTGCTATTTTACTGTCTTAGAAAAAAATACACTAATGTTTGTTTCTTGATAGTAAATTGAATATGTTTTAATTTTCTTTGCCCTACTCCAGGAAGATTCTAAGTATTTTAGTGAACTTTGTCAGAAAAAAATAAAACCAAACATAATAGTGCACCCAGAAGAGAGAGATAGGAGCACTCTGACTTTGAATTTAACATGGGACAGAAAAAGAGAAATGATATATATGTGGGTGGGTAGGTAAGTAGATAGATATTTTGTTGTCTCTCAACATGAAAGCATTCAGTAAATGGCTTAAGCAGTATTAATTTCAGGTTTTAGTGCCTTTTAGACAGCAACAGTTAATATAAAACTCAGCTGTCACCAGAGAGAAATGTTTTAAATTGCCTTCCCAGTAGTAGGCCTCAATTTGTGCTCAGTGAAAACATGCCCTATGTCTGTCCTCAGAGCTGCTCCACTGTGCATCCCCAGAAAAGACAAGAACACTTTTGAATAATCAGATATAAGGTCACTGTAGTTTTTCACTGAAGCAAACCTTGAGAATTTAGTGTCTTTTGAAGAAGGGACCTGGGTACATTATGTAAAGTAGGCCAAAAGGCTAGTTTTGCTTTACCAGTTTTGCTGCTAAAGGTAAAATAGTTAGATCTACATCAATAAATAGATTCCTTCACACTCAGCATCAGGAAAATCAAACACTCAGTGTGAGTGGGATAGGGATAAGAAATGGTAATTGGGTGAATATGATCAAAATAATCTTATATATGTATGAAAATGTCATAATGAAACCCATTTTATATATAGTTTATGCTAATAAAAACACTTTTAATTTAAAAATTCAATATATAAAATCAGGTCTTACATGATGACTAAGAGAATCATTATTCATATGATCAAATGATTATTTATTTCATGGAAGGCTACCATAGGATTCCTTGAAATAGCTGCTTTTCCCCCACATTTTGATATTTTAATTATAGTTTACTTTGTGACAAATGAGATACCATGCCTCTTAGGTCAAACCACTAAAATTCTCTACATAATAAAGACGTTTGGGATACTAACTTACTTCAGTTTGCATGACTATAACCAAAATAATTTATATAGCAGTGCTTTACAAATTATATATATATATAATACATATATGTTATATATATATATACGTATATATATATTATATGTCTGGAGTCAGGGAGATGGTTCAGCAGGTAAATTCACTTGCCACAGAAGTCTGACAGCCAAGAGAGAACTGGCTCCTCAAAATTGTCCTCCGGCCTCTACACATATGCCACAACACAGGTGCCCATTCACACTCATCATGTACACACACAAAAAAATAATAATTGTTAATTATATACACCCCTTTTTTGGTTTGTTGAGACAGGATTTCTCTATGTAACAGCTCTGGCTGTCCTGGAACTCACTTTGTAGACCAGGCTGTCAAACACACAGAGATCTACCTGCCTCTGCCTCCTGAGTGTTGGGATTAAAGGGGTATACCACCACCACCTGACTTATATACACCTATTGACATTATGATACATATATGATACACATATAATCTCAGCACTAAGGAGGATGAGGCAAGGGGGTCATGGGCTAAAGGCCACTCTGATATACATAGATCTTATTTCAAATATATAAAAAATATGTGTGTGAATTGATATTGCAGTTAGTACCAAAAAAGAATCTGAGGGAATACTTTCAGAATTGTATTATTGATATCAAATACATATTCTTATATCTTAATACCAGCTTATTTGGAGGTATTAAGACAAGGTCTCCATGTGTAGACCTGACAGGAATTGACCTCACAGAGATCTATCTGCCTGCCTCTGCCTCCTGAGTGCTGGGATTAAAGGTGCGCACCACCGTCCCAGCTAATACAGTTTAAATAAAAGATGATGTTAGATCATGTATTCATATCTAGAATCAAATCCACCCTTGGCTCATTGCCGTCCCCACCATTTTCAATTCTGCTAAAACACAGTTGTTGCACACTGAAGCACCCACAGTCCTCGTACCTGGATTATCAGAGGCTCCAGCAGCTTCTCCACAGTGACTGTCTGGACCTGCAGATCCCCAATGCCCATATTCAGGGAGATTGGTGTTTCTGCTGACATGGTGCCTGCACAAGGACACACACACAAAAAATGCTCATCAGTGAGGAGAAATCTTTCCAAAGCAGAGGGTTCCTGAAAATCATGGAGTAAGTGAGACTTCTATTTGGCACGTCTTTTCAGTCCTCCAAGGCTCAGAATACCAAATCCACTATTGGAAAAGCAGCAGACTCCCAAGTTGTTCTCTGTTCTCGTGTTGCCTAGGCTTCACTATAATGAATGCTAGTAGATTCATAATTGACTTTTAAACTTATCAAATGGGTTTCCATTTGGTCAGCAGTCTTAATTGAAAGCTTAATTGCCCACCTCTTGACACATATCTGACAGCAGCAAGCCATCTGACGTCCATGAACTCATGATGCTCAGGGACTTTGTATGCTTGTCCACTCTTGCCGAGACTTAGATGAGAAGCCGGAAAACATGGTGCATGTCTATGTGTTTCCAAGGTTGCTTATTTTGAGAGTTTTGATTGTAAAAGAAGGTTGGGGCAATTTTCTTTCATATATAGACCAGAAGCTAATAAGAATTTGAATAGCTATTAGAGAAAAAGGAAAAGCCCATGGGAAAGCATTGATATTTGGACAATATGTAGTGTTTTGAATGAGAAATGCTCCCTATAATGTCAGACATTTGAACACTTGCCCCCCCCTTCCCCAGTTGTCGCCACTGGGAAGGTTTAGGAAGTGTGACCTTGCTAGAGGAAATCACTAGGGACTGGTTTTGAGAGCTGAAGTTCAGTTTGCTCTTTCTGCTTTGTGCTTGTGGTTGAAGAAATGAGCTCTCAACTTTCTGCACCTACCACCATGCTATAGCTTGCTGTCATGTTCCCTAGCATGACGGACTCTTAAAGTCATGGAACCATAAGCCCAAATAAGCTCTTCCTTCTATGAACATGGTCATAATGTTTTATCACAGTAATAGAAAAATAATTATTAAGGCTTGATGGGACATGCTTTTAATCCCAGCACTAAGGAAAGAGAGACAGTTCAAGGCCAGCCTGGTCTATATACCACTCATAGTAATATATTAAATAATTTAAATAAGGGAAGAATAAAAGTGAAAAACACAGACACTAACCTCTGACCACCATACATACCTACACATGCACACATACACACACACAAGCATGTGTACACACACACACACACACACACACTAATCACTGAGCTTTTTATATAAGAAACCATATATTCTTTTTTTTATTTTTCAAGACAGGGTTTGTCTTTGTAGCCTTGGCCATCCTGAAGCTCACTTTGTAGACCAGACAGGCCTTGAATTCATGGAGATCCATCTGCCTCTGCAGATTAAAGGTGTGTACCACCACCACCTGGCTAAGAAATCACATATTCTTAAACACATAATTGTGATTGGTATGTCATAACATATTGAAACTGACACTGGAACTAATATATCAGCCCTGAATTACTAGATCCATGAATCTGTATTAACCTTCACTCTGTCAGTCATCACTCAGGAAGTATTTACTCAGGGTCCACATTACTCCACAGAGACAAAGAAATATAATATAATATATATGCCTTTCCTGCATCGACTTAACCTACTTTAGGTTTGAAAAAACAGAAGGTGGAGAAATAGCTCAGCAGTTAAGAGTGCCTAGTGCTCTTTCGGAGGGCTGGGTTCAGTCCCCAGCATCCACACGGCAGCTCACAGCCATCTGTAACTCCAGGGGATCTGACCTCTCTTCTGACCTCTGTGAGCACTTCGACACACATGATGCACAGACACACTCAGGAATGCATGCATACACATAAAATTAAATATTCTTAAAATAAAAATCTTATAACTCACAGAAATATGACTCTATCAATAGAAAACCTTCCCACTTTGTGTCTACCTGTTCTCCCCCCTCCCAGTTTCCCACAGCTTCAGGCTTAGTGAACTGCCACCCCAACAAAGAAACACCCTAACAATCCCTCTGAAACCAGGGAACTGAGGGGGGAAAAATAGAAAGTATGATGACTGCTCTACTTTTTCTGGTTAGTAGTTTTAACTATAAGGGCAAGTAATTATTATTTTTTAATTTAATAATTGTCTATAAATAGACAGGTAGCTATGTGAACAAGTACAGATTTACAAGATATCAATCTTCTCATAACTCTTCATAACCTCAATAACCCTAGGGGACTGAGTTATTCTCTTTTCTAAGAAACACATGGAAGAGTCCATGTGGCTGCCCATCCCTCCAGTGAAAGTCTCCTCCCACTCACCCCCAGACTTTTTCCTCACCCCCAGACTAGTCCTATAAAGCCATCACCAGTTTGCTTGTCAGTCTACCCCACTCTACTGGGTCCATCCTGTGGATTCATAAATGTGCTGTTGTACACACTCAAAGATATTCATTACTTCTGTCTATGTTTCTGTGTATAAGTAGAAAGATCAACACTTCACTAAGACTGCCATCTAAGCTGTGAACCTGATATATAGAGAGGGAGGGAGGGAGGGAGGGAGGGAGGGAAGGAGGGAGGGAGGGAGGGAGGGAGGGAGGGAGGGAGGGAGGGAGGGAGGGAGGAAAAGAGAGGGGAAAAGAGAGAGGGAGAAAGAGAGAGAGAGAGATCCTATAGTAAGAATCACATATGGCCGGGCAGTGGTAGTGCACACCTTTAATCCTAGCACTGCACTCAGGAGGCAGAGGCAGGCAGATCGCTGTGAGTTCGAGGCCAGGCTGGACCAACAGCCTCCAAAACAATACAGAGAAACCCTGTCTTGTAAAAAAAAAAAAAAGAATTACATATGTTCGCTCTTGTCTTTATATCATGATTTTTACATTAATAACAAAATTTGTTCAAACAAAAATAGAAGCACATGCGGTAGAGTCCAGAAGTTAGAAACCTAATTGCTCTTCAGATGTTATCACACATGGTTACTCTCCATAATTTTCTTTTCTTTTTTTAATTGTTTTTGAGAGAGAAGGTCTTGCTATGTGACCCTGGTTTTCCTAGAACTCACTCTGTAGACCAGGTGGGCCTTGAACTCACAGAGATCTGCCTGCTTCTGCCTATCAAGTGCTGGGATTAAAGGTGTGTATCACCATGCACAGCTCTATAATTTCCTTAATATAAAATAAAACGCAAGCTAGCAAGACAGCTCTGCAAGTAAAGTTCCATGCTGCCTGGGACCCAGGAGGAGGAAGGAAAGACCTGACTCTGATCATAAGTTATCCTCTGACCTCCACATGCATATTGACAAATAGATGTATAAACACATGCACATAAATTATAATGAAACTGTAATGGCTATAAATCACAGCATTTGTGGTTACCCACACAAGACTGTGCCTGTCAATATTTCATCATGAATGTTGGAAGGACTCATAATGCCTCCACCCCTTCCTACTGGCAGTTAATAGTTGCCAGGGACAGGGCATCATTTTCTTCAGTGGTATAGTCATTCACGAATTGCCCACTCTCCAGTACATAACCTCCTACCCATGCTCATGCAAGCAACCCCAATTAAACTCAGTGTGTCACACACACACACACACACACACACACACACACGCACACACACAATGAAAGTAGGCAGGCAAAGAGGGATTTCCGTGGTAGAGGCAGAAAGGTGGGTGAAAATCACTGAAATTTTTATATGCATGTGTGAAACTGTCAAAGAGTTTTTAAATGTATATCTGAAGTATTCTTGGGAATAACAGAAATTTTCTGAAAGGCTTTCCCGAGTGACATAGCATCATATTTGTACATAATCTACATATTGACATTTAAATGTGCTTATAATCAAATATTGTTATAATACTTCTATTCTTTCATGTGTCTTCAGTGAAGTTTAATATTAAAAACAAAGATAATTATACTGAAAGTCTCAAAGGAACCAATTATGACAAACTTAATAATTGATAAGAACATTTAAGTATAACCATATGCTCCAAGGTTTTCTATACTATTAAAGGCACCAGTGCACACTGTTCACTTCATAGACACTATCAAAACATTGTATAGTCAACACAAGAAACTAAAATGCACAGTCTGAAGTGGGAGGGAAAAGGACACTTTATAAATCAAGTGGGATGCCCTAAGATTCCTCTTGCCATTTTTAAAATAACTACAATATATTATGTATTACCCATTTACACTAAATGTTGACAGTTCTATATAAAACCCACCAGGCATTGCTGATTGCAGAGATAGAGCAAATTTTCTGAAACATAGCACTTTTCTAGATAGTTCTCTTATTGAACATAATCCAAACAGCCCCCTTGGGGCTCCCTCCTCACTTCAAGGCAATCAAGTATGTCCTTGTTCTAGGTCTGTGCTGAACTCCATCACAAGTCACTGACAAAGGCTACTATTACTTTGCTTTTTGTTTTTGTCTAGTTTTGGTTTTGAAACAGGGTCTCACCCAGTCAACAGCTCAAAATAGCTTAGAACTCAATATATAGCTCAGGTTGGCTTCAACTCTCCTTCCTCAGCCTCCCAAGTTCTAGGATTACAATCATGAGCCACCATGCCTGGACATCCTTTACTTTTTTTGTTTTTTGAGACAGGTTTTCTTTGTGCAAACTTGGTTGTCCTAGAACTAGCTCTGTAGACCAGGGTGACCTCAAACTCACAGAGATCTGCTTGTCTCTGCTTCCCAAGGGCTGGGATTAAAGGCATGTACCACCATCACCCAGATCTTTATTTTTTAAAAGCACTTTGGCTTGAAAATAATTATTCAGGTTGTATTAGATAATCGATACAGACATAGATATGTCACAAGTGTATCAATGGTAGTATGCATTAGTGTTAGGTCATTGTGATACAGTCATAATGGCCTTTCAGTTTAGAGTGCTACCATGAAATGCCTCTCTCCTTTTCACTGTATAATTTCCTTTTTAAAGGCAAAAGCATAGTCTCTTTTCTAAGACATTCTTTCAAAATATAGAAGATATTCTTTAAAAAAAAACAAGCCCTAACACTACTGACAAATGTTTTCTCTTAGTGCAACATAGCACTGGAATGTTTTGTTTTGAGTTGGTTTTCGATCATTCTACCCG